GGTCACGTAGGTGTCGCCCAGGACACTGAGCAGCACTGTCGGTCACCTGGGTGTCACCCACAATGCTGAGCATCACTCTCAGTGACCTGGGTGTCACATCAGTCCCGTGCTGTGACAATGCTGAGTCGTGCTATGGCAGAGAGCACAAATCTGTGCCCAAATTCTCCTGCTCCTAATTGCAAGATACAGCTCATTCCTGGAAAGGTCTCCAAGCTTTCCAGAACTGCACCTGCCAATCCCCGACTATCCTGTAGAACAAGGGGCTCCTGATTTCACACGGCTCTTGCCAAATAAAGGCTCCCAAAGCCCCCCAGTGCTAACTTCTCATTATCTGAACAGCTCCCGCAACGAGCTCTGAGACTGACCTGATTTGACTTGTGGAAGACAACGAAGCGGGAGATTGAAACCAAGTTACCAGAAGACATGACTCTCCCTACTGCCTTCTGGGCTAGAGGGGAAGCTGGGATTTCTCTCATCCAAAAGATACAGATCAAAAAGACCTTTTCCTTTTGCTTAAAGAAACAGAGGCACTTTTTTCAGACTCAAAGCAATACTTAAAGACAGCCAGAAAAAAACCCTCCTGGTCTTTTGACTGCTGCTTTGCTAAAGTTTCCCCATCCTCACCATCATCTCTAGGGGAGGGTGAAATAGGATTGCACAAAAAGAGACCTTAAGAAGAAAATCCTCTCCCTCCCTCAGCACAAAAGCCCTTCAGATACTTGAAATCATAATTCACACGAAGGTGAGGATATCTGCCTGGACTGTAAGGCCCCTCTGCTTTCAGTGCGGTGTTCTCAGCAGAGAACCGCTTACTGAGGCAACTGAGAGCCGAACGATTAGCAATAAAGTTTCCAGGTTCTTGTATTTTTTTCATGCCTGGGCTTTGCAGCCAAGCTACTGTGTGCAGGTTGTTTCGACACTATCGCCACTGTCCTGCAGGCTCCACCAAGCTCAGATGGGGCAGCTTGACTGAACAAGCATCCACAGCAGTCACAGAATCCAGGCCTTAGGTCTGGGGTTTGCAAACACTTGGCCATGAACCTCATTTCACTGGGACTACTGGAGGCCATACTCATACCGAGCTACCTGCAGCTTGTACCACGCTGAAAAGACCTGCTCCCCCAAGCAGGAACAGCTTCTTCCTCCAGCCGGTACCCTGCAGTGTGACCCTCGTGATTATTTTATAAAGCAAAGAGCAGTTTAATAACCAAACCTCGGAAACAGAGCGGTTGATGAGGTCTCTCAGCACCTACTTGTCCAGCCCCAGGAAAACACACCCATCCAACACTTCGCTGACGCAGAAGTGCAAAGCGAGCCGGCAACGATCCGAAGCGGCACTAACCGGCACCAGGATGGCAGAGCTGTGTGTTCGGTTTGCAGCTTTCAGTGCCTCTACCTTACGGACTCGGAGGATGACTTCTTTAGGCACCTGGTTTACACCTCACCCTTGAACAGGGGCATAATAACCATTTACACCGATCTACTCAGCAGGGGCAGAGTAAAATGCTTCTTCAGTCATTTGTTTAACGACCAGAAAGGGCTTAACGTTCCCCTGGTGAAAGCATATAAAAATTATTTCCTTTGGAGGAAACAAACACGATACTTATTTAGCTATTCAGAGATTTATAGCCCAGAGTCTCAGCATGTAAAAGTTATAAATCTAAATAGTTACTAATTTAAAAGTGCTACTTTTTGCTGCTTAAGTGATCAAGGAAGCTTCTGAAGAAATATTATGTTCTTTATCCATAACGGGCATGCATTACGGGAGATAAGGTGTCAGAGCACTTGCAACATGGGAATAGGTAGGCTTTGGCAAAGCTGCAGGCAGATACTCTAACAGCCAGGAGTGGAGTCCCCGAGCAGCCACCAAAAAGATGCTGAACTTTCACTATTACGTAGCATATATCTATAGTTCACATACACCGAACCCCCCCTCCAATAATAAAAAGAAACAATAATAGCAATCAGAGAAAAACATTTTTCTTCCTGAAATGGAGAGCCAGGTAAACTTTATTCTGAAATTACTACCGCCTTAAAAACCCAGTAATCGTTTTAAAGAAGATTCTGGAGTAAGCGCTCCATGCCCGCTGAGGAGATGCCTATTAAATAACGGAGCATATGAAGCCCTCCAGCAGGACACGTTCAGAAGATGCACACAGTAAGCAGCTATTTAAGCACAAATGCAGAGTGAATACCTATTCGTTGTTTCAATTTTAATTGGTAGCTTCCCTGCAATTTAATTTCCCTTTGGATATCTTTTGCCTGTAATTCCTGAGGTGAAAGAGGACTTTAACAATATCTTTATAAATCATAAGGATTTTTTTGCTTCCCCTGGTTCTCCCTGTGTACACACCGTTTCCTGTCGTTCGCATTAATAACGACCTTTGAAAGAAATAAACCCGTGACTAACTCACGCTTAGCTCTGAGGCCCCACATCAGATTGACGTGACAACGAAGAACGGTAGGAACGGCCAGCCTTCCTCCCGGAAAGCCTTCTAGCACCACCGAACACATCGCTGTAAGGTCTGCAAGCCTCTCGCCCCCCCGAGCGGGGCTCCCGCCTGCTTCCAGAACAGCCTGCAGGCACCGTTCTCCGAGGAACTTGGGCCGATCCGCAGCTCACAGACAGGGAAGACTCGTCCGACTACGGCACGATGGGAAAGAGCACCAAGGGTCCCACAAGGCTGTGACACACGTCCTGTGAGCTCAGCAGGGCTCCACCACGCTTCACTCTAGTGGGGGGCTGTTCTGCAGGCTGAGTATCTGAATTCTCAAACCAAGCACGTTCCTTCCCGTTTTCAACAGGTGCCTTGGCTTTACTCTGCACGGACAGCAGCGAAGAAGAGAACAACATGATCACTGAAATCCGGGGCACGGCACTGAAGGAGGATGAACAGCTGCCTGAAAACCCAGCCCTCTCAGCACATTAACAGCCTCCGTTTCCGTTTTTCTTCCCTCTTCTGCTGCTCCGCCTGTAGACCGCTAACCCAGGGCACAGCCTTGAATCTTCGCAATGCCTGTTTAGAAAGGCCTACATTGTCCTGCCCCTCAACCAGCCATCTTACTTCTACCCGAGGATCCACGCTTGGGTCATGCACAACTAACTTCAAATCTTATTTAGCATCAAGTCCCAGAATTAAGCAGCTAAGTGACAGCTGTTTAATTAACTCCTTAAGCTGATTAGAAAGCATTACAGAAATCCCCCCAAGGAAGAGTTTATAACTGTCAAGAGAGCCTAAGGCCACATTAATGCTTCTGTGTAAATTTAGTAAGCTTCTAAACCAATAAAATCCAAACGCTTGACATCCTCAGGGATGTGGTCAAACTCGGCTTTGTTCCCCCTTACCACTGCGAGGGTAGCAAACAAAAACCACCACATGGAAGGGATCTGAAGAGTCAGAACGCAGCAGCCCAACAACAAAGCAAAGAGCTGCATCCCCGAAGGGGCTGCTGGGAGCTCGCACCGGCCCGTGCTCAGTCAGACCGGATTTGCGCCGGACGCTGGAGCAAAGCTGAGCTTGCACCTTTCCGCGCAGTCGCCTCCCGGCTGCTGCTCGTAGGCACAAAGGTTCGGCCCTTGGTTCTTAAAACTTAAATCCACCTTGAATGACAAGATTACGGCAGCTGAGGACAAGTTTTAGAAGCAGCTGGTGGGGCCAGATAGGTGGCGGCTCCAAAGCAAATTTCTTTGGTTGTAGCACATGATTGTCCACTCGGAGCTGGCAAACAGCTTGACCTCAC